TACCAGTTTATAACCAAATCAGTTCTAAGTTTTTCAAGAAAGTGGTTTGGCAAGGCTGTGTGAGGAAGTGAGTGTGGAAGTGAGCGATGTCAGGGGACTCTACTACATGTATATTGTCATGTCAGCTTGTTCATTTCTTGTGATGGCCTGCCTGACACAAGCTTTGCCTTCAAGGTTTTGCCACCTCTAGTGGCCTATTGTTTCATACACTGTCAGTACTTAAATTTTTCCGTGAGGAGGAAATAAATCTAATTGAATTGAAAAAGAAAATAGACACAAATATCTACTCCATTAACAGACATGTACAACACACGTGTGTGTTGCATTCGGCAGTCAAAATTGCCCCGGGAGCGATTTTGAGGGATACTCAATGCTTGGCGTACGTGTTGACGCGTATTAAGGGGCCTGTAGCCTATGTGCTAGATATCATGTCTATTCTGATTATAGCCTGTTGGGCCTGACTTTACATACCAGTAGCATGCAAGGCATGGTATGCAGATTGATATGGTGTCATGGTGTCAGATGTGTGTACATGTATGTCATGCATCTTTTGGATCCTGAGAGGCATTGGCCCATTGCATGATTGCCAAAACTACAGGTAGGCCTACCATCATACCATAGCACGTTTCACTCAGGTCTACAATAAATTGGTTGAATTTCACGAACCTGTACGTGTACATTGTCATTTTGTTCTTGATCAATTTTATGGGTCAGCATAATGCATGACGTCACTACTACAGCCTAAAAATGGACCACAGAGGCACAAAATTCCCTTTCGCGCCCTTTGCATGCTAAAGAGAAATGTAACAAAGTTCTGGGATTTTCAACTGCGATAATGGATCTGTACTTTCGCTATTGATCATGCTGTTGGATTGTTTGACCCATGGCCAATTTGATCGCCAGCAGTCGAATTTTATTTTTTAAAAAGGATCACGTGGCCAGTAGGCCTACTTTTTGAACTTTACTGTTGGACTGATTACATGTACATGTACAGTGTATAAACCATCTTTTCTTTACATGTACTACTGTATTTGAAAAGAATGTACACGTATCAGTTACATGCTTACATGTACATGTGCCTTTTCTCGAAGAAAATTAAAATGACATAGTTTCTTCTGTTTGAAATTTTTGGAACGGTTTGAAGATAATATAAATATGTCAGGAAAAAAAATCACTAAACTGCTGGCTTGTACTGGTATCGATGCTGCAAGACTGACGTTCAAATCTCTAGCTTCAAGGGTAGGCTTATTTCAAACCCTTACTATTACATGTACATGTACCTTGCTGATCCTGTGTGAAATCTCAGACTTGCATGCATGTATTGTTACGGTGCGTACGTGTGTGTAATTTCTGCTTTTCAAAAGTCGTCCACATGTGTCAATTCAAAATGATTGTCCGGTCGCGGCAAGATTGACAGATACAAGTAGGACTGAGCAATAATGCTGGTTGATTCGAGCACAAATCTACCACTTACGCCAAATGGCCATCTTATAATACCTGGTACTGTGTTCATCAGTCGTTAATATCAGACAGCATCTGCCTGTTATCTCTTCCATTAATGAGTTTACACATGCAGTGAGTTTCCAGGTCACTTTTTATACCAATCGCTGCACACCCATTTTTGTTTGGAATTTCTGTGTGTGAGTTACTCGTACATGTACATCGTTCCTTGCAAATTTTTGCTCTGTCTCTTGAAACCAAATTGTTATCACACAGACTCAATTTTAAAAGAAATATGCTGTGGATAGTCAGTCCAACTGGATTGTCAGTGATCATGCATATTGCCATACTTGTATGTTGCGACAATACGCTCGAGATCCGAATACTTGTTTCAATTGGAAGTGAAAAGAAGGTGACTGTTTTTCAAATACTTTCATTAATGTATTGAGTCGATGCGGTGATGAAAATACCATATTTGGAAAACTATCACCTTCAATACTGGGGTCAAGGGCGCTATTTTGATTTTGTCATGCAAGGTGCTCGTCAAAAGAACAGAAGAACAGTACAAAAGTACCTACCCAATAGCAGAATGGCATCACGCTTTGGCTCATGAATATGAAAACTTTCATTAGCATAAAATTCAAACTGTTTCTTGCTTTTACTACCAAAAAAGAGATCTGGAAAGTCATCCCACTGGTAACATGAAGATACTGCTAAAGCTGTGCTTCATGTGTTCAAGTCATAAAAATCCTATTACATATTTCCCTTAAGGCAAGGACTGAACTTCACAAGGATCTCTGTCAACAGTTCTGGATAATGCATGCTCCACCTCTTTCAGCCTACATGTACATGTATGTACTTGTACATGTATGGTTATGGGCTTATAATTCAAGCATTGGGGGACTGTCCCAAGCATCTTTTAGCTTTTTAAATGCAACGAGGACTTCATGTTTACATTATAGTATAGACGGATCTGAGAAGATGTCATTCCTGTGGGGCTATCACATTCACGAGCGATTCTTTACTTGACCACATTCACGCATTTCAGTGCCGTAAGTCTCAATGCCCTATTGGTCTGAGAGAAATGTGGTACATGCCTACCACCTGCATGTGAACAGGATAACCTCACAGTAATGGCTTCTTATTTTGGTTGTTGGAATTGTCTATTCTGTGAGAATACTGGCAGGGATGCAGTGAAAACATAACTTCTTGGTGTGTTATACTGTACATGTATGCGTTGTCAGTATCATGTCTATAGACTTCACTACATTATGTGCATTTTTGATCTGGCACTGTCTTTTTCATGGATAAAATCTTTGGGCTGTTTACAGCAATATTTTTCCTTACTTGTAAACCTAATTTGATGGAAAAATGAGTAACTGTTAACTGCATACCAGAGTAAAAATTTGCCATTTTGCAGTTTCGTGGAATGCCAAATTTCAAAACAACCAAAACCGGATCTGTAAAAATTCACTTACAGCTAGCACAGGACACTTCATTTTTTTTAGCATTCCGTTTCAAAATTACTAGGTAGTCCATCGATCAGTAACCTTATGTACATGTAGGTAATCATAGTTATCTAAATTTATCTACAAAAAGTATTCATGCACTGGTACATGAATAGGATTTCAATGATAACTCATACTGTACATGGACACACATGTACCGGTACATATACAGTGCACATGTAATGTATGAACATGTACATGTACGTGTCACTGCCGAACAAATTGCCCATATGCATGATGTATCATGTGTACTGTTCCTTCCTCCATGACAAGATGTACTGTATGAACCTACATGCAAGATGTACAGTAGCTCTCACTGTCTTTCCTTAACATATGGCATGTACATACAGGTACTGTGCATGATGTATGTATATCCACAAGGCATTCACTCCCATATTTTTGGAAGATATGGCACATCTATGAGTCAATCTAAAAATGTGGCATGATTCTTTTTTTTTTTTTTTAAGATAAATACTGGTACATGTACATGTAGGTCTGATGACTCTACTTTATGAGCACTCAGTTTTGGAAATAGAATTGATAGTTTTAATTGAATGTGGTGATAAACGGAAACTTTAATACATCACCAAACTGATTTGCTGAAAAAAAAGTCCTTTTTTATAAAAGTGGACCTACATTAAGAACAGACTTTTAATGTACCGGTACATATTGAAGCCAACTACATACATCGTGTTTGCACAGGGCCTGCTTTGCTCTCTCTTTAGCCAACAGAATTCTTAGAAATAACCACCTGGTAAACCACCATCTTTCTATACAGTTGTGAGGTTTCATGCATCTTTGAAAAGAAGCCTTTTTGTCCACATTTTGTATATCAGGTAGCAAAACAAAGTTGTTTCAGTTTAGAACACATACCATAAGACAGTGGTGCATGTCCCATTTATTGACAAAGGTTCCTTTTGACACTCATATTCAAACACTTTTCAACCGCTGTTGGATAGTACCGGTACTATAGACAGTGTTTATTTTTGTGATGATACGTAGTTTGTTTCAGTGTACATGAACATGTATTCTCAGGTCGGCTTTTAAAAATAAGGATTCTTCTTTTCCTCCGTGAACATGACGCTAATTTTCTGTGAACATTTCACATTTACATGTAGGTTCAGTAATTGACTTTTTTTTTCAGTGTTTAATTTGAGAATGTATGTGATACTTCATTTCATTTATTTCATTTCTCGGGAAAAAACAGGTTACGAGGACAATAACTTCTTGTAAACAAAGTAAGAAACAGTTACAATGACTAACATGAATTCCAATCAGCTCCCGAAGGATCGCCCAAACTTCAACAAAAATTGAGTAGGAAGTTTGACTGTAGTGTAGACTCTTCTTGTACCTGTCTCTACCCAGGAGTTAACAGGGGTGAGGACCGAGGTGGTTGTTTATGTGTTGTAAGTCACTTGTGTCTAAAATGACATCAACAAGTTTTATGCTACCTGAGGAAGTAATATGATATTTGAGAATGTTTAACAGCCCCAAATGATCAGCGATGGTAGTAATTGGCACCTCAAACTTCCGGTAATGCCCAGGATTTGGATGCATCATGCATCATCGTTTGGATGTCATCAGAGTTAATATAGACAGGTACGAGTACATACATGTATGTATTAGTAGATAAAGAAATTCAGTTGCCTAGCAGTTTTGTGTTTTAATGCCAGCGGCTTCTGTACACATGTGGATCACCAATGACCAAATGACAAGTGTTCTGTGTAATACACAGGTACATGTACAGTGTAGTGAGTGTACGTAGTGTGTACATGTATATGTAGATACACATGCACTGGAAGGCTGTGTAATGTACTGTATATTGCAACAGACTTGAAGGTTGTTGTAAAGTCAGATGCTCTAATATATGGTGCCACAGAAGTCATTCAATGCACCATGTACATGTAAGTTTTCTCAACAGGGGCCATGTCCGAAACGGGTTTCCAGAGCTACGGCTACACCTTGAGAAAGTTGCAACATTTTAAGTTATGTGTGCTTGCATGTTTACGGTATAATTTCCTATTTGTACCCCACAACCGTATTTGGATCAGTAAGTGTTTGTGTGTGTGTGATTGTCGAGTGTGATGGGCCATTGAGGTGTTGCAGTTTTTGTAAAGGCCCATTGATCCGTTACGCACAAATCCCCACATGTAACCAATGGAGCTGTAGGTGGAGCTGCAGGGCAGGCATTATATACATCAGAGACCTTGCAATTAAAACAAATAGCCCCACATGTCTGAAACGATGACTCATCGTGCCATGTGAGTCATTTCAGCTTGCGTGGCTTGCTAGGAAATACCTTCATTTAGGTGTCTGTGCTGATGGCATTATTGTTAGTACGTAGATGTCGGAGCTGAGTGTGTTTGGGTGAGGGAGTTCACAGCACATTGGATGTGATAATGGTTCAGGAGTCAACAGTGTTTTGGTGGGCAGGTTCACCTTGATGACTTCACCGTTTGATCTATTGGACCTACTGTGGCTTGTGTAAGTCCTCAGGCGAGCCTATTGGTACTTGCACTTGATTGTGAATGGTGTAGGCATGGCTGAAATCACTGCTAGACAGCACCTACATGTAGGAATAAGTGTTATGTGAGCAAGTATATGTGTGCTATGTGTGATTGATTATTATGTGATAGTCTGTAGCCTGTCTCACCTGAATGAGGCGTGTTGTCTGCTCAGGAGTGGCAGTAAGGTGAGGGCGGGATTGTTCACATCCTTGTACACCTTGCAGAAACAACCTACAGGGAAGGCTGATGGAAGTATTGTTTCCAGAACTAATGCTAAAATAGCCAAGGACTTATAGAATATGCATGTAAAGCGTCTTCACAGGAATGTGGAAAATTGTAATACAGTCAGCTCTCGTTAAATAACAAAGTTGTAGGGACCAGACAAATGCCCGGTATATGTATGAGTACCGGTGATTTGTTATAACCAGGACTTTGTTATAAGAGGAGTGGAAAAACAGAGAAAACAAAAAGAATTCAAGAAATGGGATTCTGGAAATACATGTATATGTACATGCATGTCCTCTCCAATGGTATTTTGTTATATCAGTGTTCTATAAAAATTATAATAATGAGAGTCAACTGCACTGAGTCTGTATATGCTTTTTCTACCTCCATGCACCAACTTATACAGCTACAGCTGTCATGTGGTTTAGATTTTCACTTGGCTTTTGTGTAAAATGCAGATCTTCAAGTTTACCATGCTGGGTTCAAGACTGGAACAAATGCATGCACCCTTCCTGCTGCTTTCAACTAGAAGCACCTCCAACTGGAATCTGATCACTGTGTTACTTTCAGGGTTTACCCCATGTAACTGTGTATCATTGTGTACATGTTTTGCGCACAATTCAGTTTGTGTGTTGCTGTGAACCAAGAACGGGCCATTTAGAGGTCACCCAATTTTGCAGTTTCCTCCTCAGCTGAAGAAAGATCGAGGTTGTGCTGAGTAAACATGCCACTTGCTAGCAAGGTTGAACAAATAATGTGGTTACTCAATTGCTACTGGTAGGTATGTGAATGTGAAACTTGAGTTCATTTACATGTACCTCTGGAAAATCTTTGAAGTTGCTAACCTTTTGTAAATTACAAAGGTTCATGTACTTGTACCCCGGTATACACAGTATCCTTGGCAGGGAAGCACTTAGGATGCTTTTTATTTGGTGGTGGGATCTTCTTGTAGATGATTGTGACTTGTTAACTTGTTATGTGTTGAACCCTATGTACCTCTGTATAGTATCAAAAGGGTGGGTAAATGGAAGTGGACTTTGTTGATCTCTGCAACAAAAGACCCCCTCTGGCTGTCAGGTTCTAGAATACATGGAGGTGTACTTGCATGTGAGGGAGGCAGGTGTATGGGAGAGGGTACATGTAGGATGGTACTGCAGTGCTCATGTCATGAAAGTTCTGTTGTGTTCATTTACAATATGATGCATGTACATGTATTTCCATTTACAATGTAAAGGCCTAACCATGTGAATTAATCACTGTGCACATGTACAGTGTTATTGTGCACATGTTATGCTTATGGTATAGGCCTATGTATTCATCTATATTGTACATGTACAGTGTTGTGGTGCTCATGTTATGCTTATGGTATAGGCCTACATGTATGTATTCATCTACATGTACTATCCTGTTCATGGACACAGAACTCTTAACCCTCCTTCTGTTTTAACCGTCAAAAACAGTCAAAAATACCTTCCACTTGATTTCCCCCACTACTCAGACACATATGGGAAATTCGACTGATTTTGACTGATATGACAACTGTGTCAAGAATGCATCTTATCATAGGAGGGCTAATTAGTGGGTAATTACTGTGTATATAATGTTCATGCCACTGCTACTGTACATGTACACTGATGCTAAGCATATTGAATGTTCATGGTTGAATAAGCCAGTAATAATTCGATTGGATTTTTGTCACTGACATACATTATACACGTATACTGTCATAACGGTAGCTTGGAGAATACATATTACATGTGATGAGACGTACCAGTAGACTGCCCATTGGGTAAGCCCGCGGCATTTTGACCATATGCCATTTTCAAATTGAGTCACACTTACAATAATAGGCATTTCCAAGCCGGGTTTAGTGACAAATCTTGTTACGTTTATACAACTGCACATATATATTCATTTATGTATATTTCTCTGTACAGTGAGAATTTTAGAGTAAAGTTGATGCACTCGTCTGTTACACTAACTGACATACGTGTACCGACAGGACTTTCTTTTGTCCAGTCAAAAACTGTTTAAAATCCTGGTTTTTTAATAGCCTATGAATTATGCATGGTCCAGTAAATGTACATGTGCCTCTCCCAGAACCCCAATGATTGTCAGTTTTAGGCATGTACATGATGTTGTACACTTCCAGTTGGAAAACATTTGAAAATGTTGTGTTGGAAATGTACTGTAGTTATGATTGTGAATGTGCAATTTATTTTTAAAATGATTAGAATTTCCTTTAGAGAGCTGACCTGTAATGCGCTACCGGTATATAAAACAGTACCCGCAGAGTTTGATTTATTCAGAGTTTTTACTTCCCGTGAAATTGTTCTTGTCATGATGTGAGGCGGGTGTTTCTCCCACCTATTCAAATGTGAGGTGGTCTACTTCACTAATTTTAGTGACCACCTCAACCTTTTGGGGCGATATTGCCACCTCACACCTACTGTACATGTAAGACATCGAGGAAAACATCACAGAAGTTTGAGAATTTTACAGAATACCGACATGTACATGTACATACAGTTCTGTTCAGCAAAGAAAGCCACAGAATTCAAGATTTGTTCATTAAGAGGAAATCGACTGAGATAAAATGGACATGTACCATGACTGAGCATCATTTCTCACCCTCTGAGCCTGGTCGGTAACATTCTCCTTTGCCACAAACACTTTTTCTTTCATAATTTTTCTGGCCATAACGTGTTCAATGCTCAAGGTGAAACCCTGGTGTGTGGTTAAAAGGGGTACAACTAATGACATCTCATACTGTGTAGCTCTGACTCCAGTGTTCATGTCCCTATACGTGTATGTATGCATTGTACACTTTCCAAACATACAAAGACCTCCATGTGTAAGGATTTCTTTCCAGATGCAAGTACAGTGTATTTCTTTTCCTAAGGACATTATACATGTACGTTTATGTTTGGTTTTCTGTCTTTGCAGACAGCCAGCTTGTCCATTAGATAAACATACATGACCCGGCTCCACAACCCTAGATGACCCAAGTTGACCTGAGGAGCCTTGGCCTTGATATGACTGTTTCCTGTGGACGCCCAGGGCGGGTGCATGCTGCATGTTTTTGACTGCCAGATAACTGCGGCGGCCATGACTTGGTGTCTTGTGGGTAACACAGGGGCAGTTCACATTTTGCCTCAGTCTATGATCTTCGTCGGGCGAGACAACTGCGACATTAACATTCAGGTAATGTAAGTCTTTACGTAAATTCTGAATTCCATCTACATTAACATGCAGGCAGGGAAGTTTTCCCTGAGAACCAACTATTTTTAGCTACATGTACCCTGACATGTGTGTGCAATGTATCTTGACAGTGATATTCATGACCTGTTGTTCATGTTCGCTTATTACTGATTCACCATTGCATAAAAACTAAGGAAATACATGTACACATGCATGTATGCGCCCGCATGCAGCACAGACATGCACCCATACATGTACATGTGTGTGCTGTTGTGTAACTTGCCAGACACAGCCAACTCTGACTTGGGATGACAGATTGAGGAGACGCTGGGCAGGAATTTTAATGAGGATCTGATTATACTTTTTGACACCAATAGAAAAAGGAATGAGGGTACATGTACATGTATCATATTTCACCTCTTCAAGTATGCCTTAATATGAACGAGTTTTGAACCTGTTCTGAAAAATGCAGTCACTTTTACATGTTGTGTTCATTTGTATCATTCCATTTTTGTTTTATATGTAAGCAGGAAGGGTGATGCTCCAATTTTAATGCTAGCACTGGCGGGCGTTTTTTTTCATTTTTGAGGGATGGGGTTGGTTCAATTTATCTTGAATTTTTAGCAATATAATCAATTGTTATGGCTCATATTTTGAATTTTCAAGTGAGTTTGTGGTCATTAGCCAATCTGTAGTAGATTCTTAAAAGTCCACCCAAAGATTTTGGAGCAAGAATGTACAGGGGAAGGGGGGGGTGGGAGATGCCAGGGCTTTTGACACATTCACCTTTTGTAATCCTCTGTAATCGTCTGTTGTTTTACTACATGAAACACACACCAAACAGAAGCCTTGGATTTGTCTTTTGCGACATTTAAATGCCCCAGATTGTAAGACTTGATGTCCCGTAAACCCTAACCTTCCCCAGCCACACAGAATTAAACAGCAGTAAAGTGTTTAGTTCTGTGGGGATAGGCCTGGTAGGCCCATAACAGCTGGCTTTTGCTTTGGGTTTGGCATACCTCAGAAAAATAAAGTCCAACAGCCTCTGTGCACAACTTTGTGTGAATAGGGAAGGTTAGGGCCAGCAACCCTTGGGGGGTTAGGGTTAAAAAACTTTCCCAAGAAGCATGCCTCTGGAGTACCCTTTATCGAAATCCTGGGTACACCACTGCGGAGGATTTTGTAGGATTCGGTAAGGTAGAGCCCAGCCACTAGTACTTTACTTGGGACAGATGCTTCTTGAAAAAAGTCAAGTGTAGGAGGATTTCAGAGAGGTTTCTAGTATGTACAAATTCCTAGGATGCGAAGGTTAAGAGAAACTAAAATCCTTTCCAACCATGTCAAAATACAGCAGAGGTACAGCGCATCTATTAGCATGTAAGTTGGGACTAAATTGTAAAACTATGTCTGTGTTTCTTGTTTTGTTTTTAGTCTCGGAGCGTTGATAAGCGCCACTCTGTCATTAACTTTGACCAATATGACAAGGCTTTTTTCATCAAGGACATGGAGACTTTAAATGGGGTGAGTTCTCAAAGTTTACCGTCTTCAGCATTTAAAAAGATTTAAGCCATTCCTTATCGTGCGTATGAGAATGTCATGGATTAACTGCTTCCCTGGAACACTGTCAAGGAATTGTTTTAAAGAAAGGTCTTTTTAGAGTATCTTTGGCAAGAGAATTTTTGTTTGTAATCAAAATAGGTTTCATGGCCCAGTTGTTCCTGATGGCTTTGAGTCATTGTATAATTTCTTCTGTACGAAAGTCAACTGAAACATAACAAATGTTCAAATGAAAAAGGATTGCTATAAGAAAAACATTACCGATAATTGTGATGCAGTCTAATTCATTTCCATCACATTGTCAATTACATCTGATTTCTTTTTGCAGACATTTGTTAATGAAACCAGAATACCTGATCAGACTTATATCAGTTTGCAGCGTGGAGACTCTATTAGGTTTGGATATGATATCCTTTTGGAAGTGAACAAAGTTGAATTCTGAAGAAGTAAAAGTAGAAGGGCCAAACCATATCAAGGTTGACATCAAGAAAGAAAAAAGTTCGTAACTATCGATGCACATTCTGATAAAAGGATGGCTCATACTTCAGGTAAATGTGAAACCCAAGCAAATTTTACATCGCAAAATGATTGCGGCAAAATTTGCCCGAGTTTGAAATACGTAAATTTTCAACAAATTCGCAATGTGAACAATTGCTCTGACATCATGATTTTGTGTTTGTTTTCCCGTTTACACCAAGTGTAAACCAACCTTTAGATTGATTTTTCTTAAATCCTTACTGCCGAAACTACATGTATACAAGTTTTCTTTTCTAAATGGGCCATTAGAGCAGACTTTACCCTGCAAAATGCAAGATGGCACTGCACTGCACTGCACCTGTCAATTAAATGGAAAACTCCATCTTGATCCATGGTGGCAGGAACCACATGCTTTTCCAGAATGTCTGTTACAAGTGTTTAGCATGAGCGTTGTACCTCACATTGGCAGTCACGTTTCTAAGAATAACACAGTTGAATCAATCATTTCCAGCTGACCATACTTGCTGCTTTCCAGTTGTAAAGTTCCATTCCACTTGCATGAGCATAATGAAGGGATAGCTCAAAGGGATATAGCAAAAGGTGTTTTTTTTTCTGTGTATGACATTACAGTTTCTATCAGCTCCATTTACAATGTGGCTGCCAGTCACCCCACCGATGGCCAAAGGCATGCTCCATTTTGCAGATAAAACAACGGAAGAAAGGCCGTTGCAAGAGGCATTGTTCAAATCCACAGCCCGCTGTTGTGGTCTCTGTGGGCCAAAGAGCTCATTGTCCTTGCAAACTGGGTGAGGTGAGACCAAAAGAGATCATAAAAGGCCCCCTGAGGTGGAATTGCATGGATACACCATGTGCGTGCTTTAATAACTCCGTTGGTGGTGTTGACATCCATGTGAATTTCCACAGGGTGCTCTCAGAAGATCATTTTTCCTTACTCCCTGCAACATTTTATGGCTATTGTGTGTTCGTCATTTTGTAAGACCTCACATTAGTTCATCCGCACATACAGGGTAGGTTGTTTACCCTGTTCAGACGTGGTTAGGTTTAGTTGTGTAGGTGCTTGGAGCAACATTTTGCACAGGGTGCAGTATGTTAATTGATCAACTTCAGTGTGTGGTACAGGTCAGCCCCTATTTAGGGACAGTGTTGAAATTTATGCTTCTCAGGCTGGGGTGCTTCGTGTTTATACATAAGTACATGTACATGTAGTTGGTCCAGTTTGATTGTAACTTCCTTGACCAGCATGCCACATCCAGTGACGTATCGTTTTGATGAAGTGGACCCTAGTACCCTACGACAATTCAAAGCAGAAGACGGAGTAAACAAACTGGTAAGTAACTCTGCTTAATGAACACGCTAAGTCCGTCTGTGATTGTTTGGTACTTATGAGGGAAGAGTATGATGGGGGGAGGGAGCCAACCCCTCACTGTGCCTCAGTTTGCACCTCAGTAGGCACCCTTGATGTACAGAACTGTTGCAGTTAGGCATGGCAATAATTCTCTGAGACTCGTTTGATATCTTTGATCTTTTGGGAGGAGATGGGAGTGTTCTGTGCAACCTTCATTCTCCTTTCTTCCTCTCTGTTTTTTAGAATTACAGAATGATGAGTGACTGTAAGGATAATTGTACAAGTAAAATCAAATCCCTTCACACCCCAAGCACATCAGAATTATGCTTACATGTACATGTAAATGGCAATAGCAGTTTACACTGTACATACATTGCACGCAATTACCACTTTTTGTGTATTAAGTGAAGAAAAGGGTTCCAGCTGAGAGCATTCACAGAAACGGGCCTTTAAATTGATTGTTTTAACATTCCGGTGAAACCTGTTGCCTCTTGATGCACAGTAGAGTGTGGCTTGTTGCCAGGTGCACAGCACTGTGGACTCTTTTTCATACACAAGCGATTGTGCCCGTTAATAACTTTTCGCACTTAAAAATGTGAATGAAGTCAGTGTCTGTTTTACACTTTTTTCGTAGCTCACTGTCTGTAGATGTATGCATGTTTTGTGCATGCATGCTTTTTTCTCATTAGTCGTCAAATGGCTCTCGAGGTGAAATGGGAAATGGTGCCAGGAGGTCATACTCTAGCACATGCCCCACATGTGAATGTCTTCTTGTGGTATGAAAGGCTTATTGAATTTGGGAGATTTCCAGGAGTTTTTTTTTTCTTTCCAACAAGTTTCATGTTCATAACGATGTCCGTCATTTCAGGTACGAGTATTTATGTGCGTATGCACACTTTGCATGTGTGATACATTGTATAAAGCAGTGATCCCAATTAGGGAAATGGTTGCTGTAATGGGGTGTAATGCTCCTGTGAAGTTGGTGTCAGAAAGAATGTGCTGTTTGGTTTAGCTGGGGGATTTTGGAGGACGTCCGCGGTAATAATGCCCAGGAAGTTAGTGTTACCGGTAATTGCATTTAGACTTCGATTTGTAAGCTTATACATGTATATTCAGATGCAGTTCATGGCATGACCATAATGACTCATTACATACACAAACTTCCTGCTGGGATATAGAAAAATATTTTTGTATCTTAGGATCAGGAAGTGGAAATGCACATGTCTAGTTCATGTAGGGTTGGAAGTTTCCACTTGAAATAGTAAAACTAATGTGACCTGTGGCCCAGACATGCATATTACATGTACGTACATGTACGAGTACTTGTACATGTACATACATATAAATCGTTTTGTTGGTAATCCTACATGTACATGTATAAGGCCTTCTGTGTTGAGTGAGGCTGTCACTTCGTTTACATGTATGATGTAAATGTCAGCTTTTTTCCTCTTTTAACAGACTTAAATGATGGAATGAAATCCGTCATCTAGATATCAATAATAAAATGCACATGTAGCTTTGGAAGCAAAATTTATATTTTGGCACTGAAAAGATACCGTACCAAACTATTGAAGGTGTATTCAATTTTCAACCTTGTGTACAGTTTACGTTATGTGCGATATTTTTATTTGAGCCTACATGTACTGTATATAAGTACAAAAGTGTTTAAAGTTGGTTGACTGCTTGAGGTCACTTCAGCAGTGTGACATTGTGAAAGTGAAAGAGATTTTTTGTGTTCACAATGTTCTAATGATTGACAAAGAGTTAACGGATACAATGGATTTTCAGCTCAACTTGTTTTGGTACACATTGCTACATGTACATGTATGTGCTACAACAACACAAACAAGATCTGGATTTTCTGTTCCATTCAAAGTGACTAGAAGGTTGTAGTTTCGTCATTCTTAGAATATCATTTCATCAATGCATTTCAGAGGGCACTAGTTTACCTTTTGTCACACAAGGCACTACTTATTAAAAGAGCATAAGAAAAAGTACAAAAGATTTGTCCGTAACAATTCCCCAACAAAGTTTTGAAGAAATAGTAGCAATTACTATAATGCAAACAAGGTATACATGTATGTATGTGTAGTTAACACAATCTTGACAAGTATAGAGAAGTGTGACATGTACATGTACATGTACCAGTATTGGTATGGAGCTACGTGTATGGAGCCACTACACTGTACCTACATATATACTGTTCTGCCTTGAACGACATTTTTGAACACTTTTACACTTTTAGCTCATGAATATGGAAATTTTCAGTTCATGAAAATGGAAATGTTCACAGCATGAAACCCCAAATGTTGAAGTTTTTCCTTTTTAACATGACAAAAAAGGTGGAAAGTCAAAATAAATTTGGAAGTAAGATTTCCGACATGTACGTTTAGATGTACCATATTCAAGTCAAAAAGATCTGGTTTCATGTCTCCTTAAACTTAAAGGGTTATCACAAAAGGGAAAACATCGATATATTTCATCAGGAAATAATTCATTGCATATCCAGTCAGTGAAAGTAGATTTCTGTAACAGATTTTAAGCCCCAAAGGTCACTTTTACCAAGTGCACAGTTAAACTTGATTGGAGAGAACTGTATAACCAAACCGTTCTCCAAAATGTCTTATACCTTTATTATTGAGTTTAATGCTACACTTAACAGTACTACTGCTTATCACATACATGTAAAAGCATGTGTTACCGGTACATGCACTGGTACTGGTTATACCGGCACCAGCTCATTTTCTAGAGCAGTCACAATTTCATACAAGCTGAAAATTTAAAAAGTGGTGGTGAGCATCCTTTGGAAGAAGCTCTTTTTGTTGTTGCCTAATATACATGTAGTACTTGTTTTGAATGGATTATGTAAATTAATTTGACTTTATAAATGATTGTTTGTATTTCCCATGGATGAGTTTCTAATTCATTGAAGATTTGACAATCATTGAAAACTTGTACATTTCATTACTTGCCCAATCCTCTGGAACTGAAAATTCAATTACCTGCCACTTGGATGGATGATTTTAGTACGCATTCTTGTGTACCGCTGCAGTTTAAAAATAAGTTGAAAGATAATACGAAGCATGGCCAGTGATGTCACATTTCTAAGGACACGTTCGTGTCTGTAGTCTACGGTAATTTGACTTGTGTCAGAATGATATATACAGACAGCTGGAAACCCTTCGTAGCAAGACAATGTCAACTATACCATACCGGTAGGTGGGTGTTGGCCTACATGTACATGATGTAGATGTAGATGTAAATCCAGCCTTAAATTCAAGCTTGTTTATGTCATCTAAACTCTGAATTTTCTGAAACAAGGTAAAATGGTAAAGGTGCATACTGCATAC